AGAAGTGCTGGGTGAACCTGGAGCATCTTATGGGACCGCAAAAAGAGGATGTGCTCCAAAGGATGGAGTAGGTGGCGAGGACACAGAAGCCAACCTGAAGGGCTCCCCAAGGCCAATCGGGCACAATCTGAGCAATAAAATGATGGCAGTGGTGGATTATTGAAATCCTCCTGTCTTGGTCCAGGCTGCCACAGCAGAACACCACAGACTGGGGGATAAGGCAACAGACACCTCTCACAGTTCTGGTGAGAGCCCCTTCCGGGTTGTAGACGGCCGCCTGCTCACTGTGAGCTCACGTGGTGGAGAGGGAGACATCAGCCCCATCCAGCGGCCCCACCCACATGGCCTCATCTAACCCTAATCACCTCCCAGAGGCCCCACGTCCTAATGCATCCTACTGGGGGTTGGGGCTTCCCCACATTTGGGGGAGACACGAACATTCAGCCCATAGTGCTATCTAATAAATGCCCACAAGTCGTAACTAAAGAGGTAAGTGGGAAGGAAAGCTAATCACTCATCCTTTCAGTAGAATTCTAGTTAATAAATGCAGACAGAACGATGGAAGCAGAAGAGCCATTTGGCAAACACCGCAGTAATTGCTGTTTTAGGCAAGAATCACGAAGGGATATTAAAATTAGGCCAAGTTATGATGAGAAGTGGGATATTTGCTTAGTCTCCCCGCAAGATAATTAAAAAGAGAAGCAGTAAGTTTAGAGTGGAGAAGCCTGGCAGACACCCCCTCCCCAAGTGATCTGGGATAATACGACAGACAGCGGACATGCCAACAATGCACCTCCAGATGAGGGGCCCCGAGAAGCGCCCGGCATCCCTTCTCACATCCTGATGTGGTCGTGTGGAAACAGCAGACAAGCCCAAGCTAAGGACTGTGGGCTCAGCACTGGCTAAGAATGTCAAGAATGAGGAACTGGTCCCTCAGAGGAGACGCGGGAGACATGACGACAAAACAGAATGTGTGTCCTGGGTCGGGTCCTGGCCCAGAAGGGGTTTGGATAAGGCTGCAGACAGTTAATCGTGCTGTATTCGTGTTAATTTCCTGGTGTGAACTGTGCACTACAGTATTTGAGATGCTAGCTTTGGGGGAAGCTGGCTGCAGGTGGGCTGGGATTCTCCGTATGACTTTGGCAACTTGGTTGCCACACAAAATTGGGATTCTCCTACCTGGTGTGCATAAAAAAGCCAATTAATATAGCACCGGCTTTTGGGAGAAGAAAACAGCTTTATTGCTAGATCGACCTGCAAGGAGGTGGGAGATATATGCTCTCAGATCTGACTCCCTGACCCAGGGCTTGGGGCATGATTTATGGGATGAAGGGCAGGGCGGTCTGCAATGTGGAGACGATGATTGGAGGTAGGAGAAGGGAGGTCATTGGTGGTCTGTGCAAGCGTGGTCAGGCTGGATGGCTCTTCATAGGACACATGTTCACAGAACGGTGGTGTCAGCATGATCTGAGGTGGAGTCTTGCCCCTTGATGTCAGCAAGGTCACTTATCGGGCATTTGCATAGGCCCAGTCAATGGGTTGGTGGTCTCACCTGGCCTGAACTGGACAGGGGGGTCTCAGTTCCTGAAAAACACTCTTAATTACTCTGTGGATAAGATGTGGTCAGTTGAACTGATTCTAGGAGGCCCATGGTTGCAACTTTTTTTGTAAGTCTGAAATCATTTCAAAATGAAGTTAGAACATAAAAAACATTAAATCAAAAGACGTTCTTTTGTTCTTGAGTACAACCCACTAAGGAGACACAGTGTGAGCTGTGTTCAGAGTCACTTGCAGTAATGCTCTCATTTGTGTGCCTGTCCCTGCTGCTTTCACACACAGCTGAACTGTGTTAAATATTGTCCTGCAAATTCCTGTCCACCCAGACCTCAGAGTGTGGCCTTCTTTGGAAATAAGTTCTTTGCAGACGTAATTAGTGAAGATGAGGTCACCCCAGCATGGGGTGGGCCCTGAATCCAACACCCAGTGTCCTTGTGAGAAGAGGAGAGACAGACACAGAGGAAGAGGCCGCGGGAAGAGAAGCAGAGACTGGAGTGACGCAGCCATGAACCCGCGGACGCCCAGGATTGCTGGGGCCACCAGAGCTGGAGAGAGGGCTGGAATATTCTCCCTTGGAGCCTCCGAAGGAACCAGCCCCGCCCACACGTTAGTTGAAATCATCATTGACTTCTGGCTTCCAGGACTTGAGAGAATGAGTCTGTTATTCTCAGGCCCCATTTGTGTACTCGCTGGGCAGCCCTGGAATGCTCAGAGGAGAGTAATGTTGGCCTTGGCCTGTCTCTTTTTTCTGATGTAATTCTGTTATTCTGCATATGTGGAAGACTTCCTGACCTGAAGGGAGAGGACAACGCAGGACTCGCCTGTGGTCTGTCCTCTCTGCCCTTCTGCCTTCTAGACAATAGGCTGACCGGACTCCCTACTTCCTCCCCTGCGGCTTCATCCCCACAACAGAATCCACCCCTTTTCCCTTTTCCTTTAACAACCCTTCCAGGAGACAGCTGCCCGTAGGCATGAGAGAACTCCTCTATTCTTTTTTGCACGTGACTCAGTTGACACAATGTTTTTCCTACGCTGTGATATTTGAGAAGTTTCCAATCTTCTGTCACTACAGATGACACCACAGGGAATAACCTGGAGCGTGCGCCTTGTATGTTTTTCGGTCTCCAGGCCACGTTTCTAGCTCTCCCGTCTCGTTAGGTAAATGTGGTCACAGTTCTGTGGCTGCAGCGGCTGTCGCCTCCTGGGGTGGAAGCATTTCAGATGACCCCGTGTTTCCTCACAAGACTTAGAAACAACCCAAGTGATGGCAGCAGATGAAATGGATAAAGAAGATGTGGCATATATACAATGGAATACTACTAAGCCGTAAAAAAGATGAAATCGTGCCATTTGCAACAACATGGATGGATCTTGAGGGTATTATGCTAAGCGAAATAAGTCAAATGGAGAAAGACAAACACCGTATGATTTCATTTACATGTGGAAGATAAACACATAGATATGGACAGCAGATTGGTGGTTCAGACGGGAAGGGGGTGGGGGGAGGGCAAAAGGGGTAGAGGCACACATGTATGGTGACAGATGGTAACTAGACTTTTGGTGGTGAGCACAATGCAGCCTATACAGAAGTTGAAATATAATGATGTACACGTGAAATTTATATAGTTATAAACAAATATGAAATTAAAAAAACAAAAAAAAATTTTTAACAAACAAACAGAAAGATGCGTCAGGGCATGTTGTCAAAGTTCTGGACCTCTGCCAACCTGAGAGGTAGGACCCGTACTGTGGCGGAGCTAGGACTCCACTCCTCTTGTGAGGTTGGGCAACCTCACATGTGGTAAGAGCCGTGGTCCTTCTGTTTCTGTGAACTGCCTGATGGTCGAGGATTTTTTTCCATAGATAGCTGGGCTTTCTTACCATGATTGCTGACGCTCATCATAATTTGTAGAGGCCAGCCCTTTGGGGTACAGGTGTGAACACTTTCCCTACCGTGCTATGATTTTGTTCCTGGGGTTTTTGTTCATGCAAAACCTTATATTTCATTTTTAATAGACTTTAATTTTTAAAGCAGTTTTAGGTTCACAGCAAACCTGAACAGAAGGTACAGAGGTTTCCCATATGCCCGCAGACCCCCACATATGCACAGCCTCCCCCATTATCAACACCACTCAGCAGAATGGTCCATTTGTTACAATCGATGAACCTATGTTGACACATCATAATCACCTAAAGTCTATAGTTTACATTAGGGTTCACTCTTGATGTTGTACATTCCATGGGTTTGGACTAACATACAATGACCTGAATCCACCATTATAGTATCATACAAAATATCTTCACTGCCCTAAAACTCCTCTGTGCTCCACCCATTCATCCTCTACCTCCCACCCAACCCTAGCAGGTACTGATCTTTTTACTGTCTCCATAGCTTTGTTTGTTCCAGAATGTCATAGAGTTGGAATCACACAGTATGCAGCCTTTTCAGGAAGGCTTCTTTCATTTAGTAATATGCATTTAAGGTTCTTCCATGTCTTTTCATGGCTTGATAGCTCATTTCTTTTAGCACTGAATAATATTCCATCATCTGGATGGATCACAGTTTATTTATCCATTCACCTACTGAAGGACATCTTAATTGCTTCCAAGTTTTGGCAATTATGAATAAAGCTGCCATAAACATCTGTATGCAAGTTTTTATGTGTACACAACTTTTCAGTCCATTTGGGTAAATACCAAGGAGTGTGGTTACTGGATGGTATGGTAACAGTACATTTAGTTTTGTAAGAAACTGCCAAACTGTCTTCCAAAGTGGCTGCACAATTTTGCATTCCCACCAGCAGTGAATGAGAGTTCCTGTTGCTCCACATCCTTGCCAGCATTTGATGATGTCAGTGTTCCTTATTTTAGCCATTCTGATAGGTGTGTAGTGGTATCTCAATGTCTTTTTAACTTGCAATTCCCTAATGACATCAAATGTGGAGCATCTTATCATATGCTGTTTGCCGTCTGCGTATCTTCTTTGTTGAGGTGTCTGTTCAGATCTTTGGTCCATTTTTTAACTGGGTTGTTTGTTTTCTTATTGTTGAATGTAAAGTGTTCTTTGTATATTTTAGATAACAGTTCTTTATCAGATGTGTCTGTTGCAAATATTTTCTCCCAGTCTGTGGCTTGTCTTTTCCTTCTCTTGACACTGTCTTTTGCAGAGCAGAAGTTGTTAATTTTAACGAAGTCCAGCTTATTGATTCTTTCTTTCATGGACTGTGACTTTGATTTTGTACCTAAAAAGCATGCCCAAACCCAATGCTACCTAGGCTTTCCTGTTATCTTCTGGGAGTTTTATAGTTTTGTGTTTTGCATTTGAGCCTATGATCCATTTTGAGTTCATTTTTGTGAAGGGTGTGAGGTCTCTGTCTAGATTCATTCTTCCGCGTGTGGATGTCCAGTTGTTCCAGTATCATCTGTTGACAAGACTGTCTTTGCTCCTTTGTCAACGATCAGGTGACGATATTTACGTCGGTCTATTTCTGGGCTCTCTGTTCTGTTCCAATTATCTGTCTGTTCTTCCATCAATGCGACACTGTCTTGATCACTGTGGCTTTACAGTAAGTCTTGAAGATGGATAGTGTCAGTCCTCCAACTTTGTTCTTCTTCTCCAATATTGTGTTGGCTATTCTGGGTCTTTTGCCTCTCTATGTAAACTTTAGAATCAGTTTGTCAATATCCAAGAATAACTTGCTGGGATTTTGATTGGATATATTTCATTTTAAACAGTTGAATTTAATGATCTTTTCTCTGTTCTTCTGAGTTGTAGATTGTAGTAAAAAGGCTTTTCTCTCTCCTGGGATATCCAGGGCTTCACTGTTTTCCTCTGGAACCTACATGTTTCTTTTTTTTATATTTAGTTCCCTGGTGCTGTGGGGGTTATTCTGGTGTGGAGGATGAGATAAAGAATCCATTTTATCTCTTTGTAAACGGCTACCCAATTGTCCCAGAATACTCTTCTCAAAGCCCATCTTCTCCCCTTTACCATGTGCCAATTCTCTGTATGGATTTGATTCTATTTCTGGACTTTTATTCTATTCCTTTGGTCTGCCTGCCTGAAAAATAAAATTTCAAATATTTAGACCAATAGATGAATTTTCAGAAGGACTAATGAAGAAAACCTTCATCTCCTTATTTCTCCTTTCATCCGTTGGGTGCTGATATCCTGTGATCTGGGTGGTTCATGTTCTCCACAAAGAGCAAACACAGACGCAGGCAGAGTCAAGGCCTCCAAACATGATGAACACGTCCAAAATCCTGGAAGCCATTGAGGAAATGGGAAATCCATTACTTCCCAAGCCCAACCAGAAATCTCATCAATTAAATTGACTGAGCAGTAATCTCACATAGAGTTGACATTAACCACAATCCAGGCTTCTCTTTCAAGGCTTTATTTCTCATTTGTCACTTAGGTGAAGGGTCATTAGGACCAAAGCTCATCTTCTCCAGCAGATTGTCCTGACAGCTACCTGACCCCATTAAACTGGGATTCACTCGCCCTCAACGGGAGTTTAGGATCAGCATACGCTTTATTCCCCTTTAATTACAGGGAAGATGCCGAATCTGCAGGACAGAAGGACTCTAATGTCATTTTCTCACTTTCGATTCACGCACCTGGCTTCTAACAGATGTTTCTTCTTTCTGGTTTCCCTGAGTTAAAGAATTCCGTGGGAAGGAGCTGAATGTTGCCTCTAGGGCATCCCCAGCTGCTGTTGCTTCTCAGGGTGGCATATGCTTGGTGTCAACAGAGTAATCTCACACTTTCCTCCAGCTGGTAGCCAGAGGATATTTGCTGGGTATCAATGGTTCTCAGCATTGTCAGACTCCAAACCCTGCCTTTTATAACAAATATTTTATCATATCCTCTCGCTCTGCTGAAATTCAGAGACAATATTACTCACTTGTGCATACCATTTCAAAAAAATCAGTTTAATGACCTGTCATAAAAGGAGAAATAAAAGGGTAGTTAAGTTTACTAGCGCACGACATGAACTTTGACTTCTGAAAGTGCAGGCACACCTTCACTGCAGGACGTGGTGTGGGAAGCAGGTCCGTTCACAGAAGCTCGGGGCTGTGGCAGTGGCCAGTGCAGTGACATGTGAGGGCATGCTGTCCAGCTGCTGCGCACTTCCCAGTTCTCAACAAAGCTAAGTACCAGCCATCCTCAATTACCTTATCGCAAATTCTAGAAAAATCAGAGTATGTTAAAATCATGCAAAAATTGTGTGTTTATATGTAAATAGGTTGGAGTCTAGGTTCAAGCTGTTCACCGTGTGTCTGGCAAGACTTTCCCAATGTGCACAGGGGGAGAGGTAGTCCTTTGTTTGCTTTTCAGGGCATCCAGCCTCCAACACACCCCAACAGCCCGCCCATCATTGAGGCGACCAGTCACATGCCCTAAATGTCCAGAGCAGCACTGAGCCTGGCCCCACTGTGGGGAGGGGTCACGGCACCATAGGTGAAGACAGGAGGGAAGAAATGACAAAAAAGGAGTGGTGGGTTTGATGTAATGGGGCTGCCTGGACCCACAGCTGTGCGAAACCCACTGGTCAAGCGGCTCTGTGCAGGGCCCGAGCTTCCTTTCGCCTCTCTCATCCCACTGTTAGAGCCAAGGTTCCTCACCACCTTCCATGGAAACCAACTCGAGATCCAACATGTCGGCATCCTCACAACACCAAGTAGTATTTCCAGCACCGTGTCATGCCCCCTCCCCTCCAATGCGAACCCTGTGGTTCGGGTCATGAGCGCTTCCTGCAAGCATCCCTGACTCTTCTGCATCCTGCTCCTCCTTGGTGCTCACCTGGCAAAGCCTAATTGTCCACTGCCCCACACTCACAGTCAAGGCTCTCAATTTGCCTGAAACTCCAGCAATCGTCTCTTTAAAACTCTACCACCTGTGCCCAGTAAGTAACTCCCACTCACTCCCATCAACATCTCATGCTCTCCTACACGCCTGGCTGAGAAGATGGACGTCCCCAGAAGGGGCCCTCTGAGCCTGCAGCCCGCACTCTGCCCCCTCCTTCCACAGCAGATGACTGTCCCTGCTCCCGCTGGAGGCTACCCAGCACCCTGGGCTCTGCGATCCTCCTCCTCAGGCTCTCAGCGCTCTGCTTCGTGGATCCCCACAGCTCGGCAGCATTTGTCTTCTCCTCTCTTTTGGGGCATCCCACCAGCAGCCATACACCTGACATGGCACCTGCATTTGACACCGCTAACCACACCCGCTTCCTAGCCCACTCCCCCAAAGGCCCTGGGACTCACCAGTCTCCTCCTCCTTTAGATGTGGACATTGGGGACCATGCAACAGCCTAGGGTGACAGCACACCCCATGTCACCAGGAACCCTGGAGAATGCAACGGTGGACAGGGCCGTGCTTCCCTCCATGGTTCAAGGGTGGCCTGCAGGACTGTGAGGGCCCCACCAGTCGTTCTCAGCACCAGAGGCCACCTCTCTCCACAGGTGCACCGAGTTGTGGGGAGTCTGATGTCTGTGGCTCCATTGTCTGCCACGGTCTGCCACTGTCTCGGCCCCCTGCAGCCCACCCTCTCCCTGGGGCCATGTGACATGGTCCCTGTCTGTGTGGCAGGGTGTGAGGGAAGTGAGAGGGGCCATCCCACTGCACGTCCCCCTGAGGTCTGCCTGTCACCAGGCACGGGGTGGCTCCAGGTGGATGCTCATCAGCGCTCTTCAGTCTGCTGTTGCCTGTGCGGTGCCAGGGTCCCCAAGACCACCCTCGGGTTCAGCGACTCACTAGAAGGGCTCAGAGCTCAGCAAAGCTGATACACTCACGGTTACAGCTCACTAGCCAAAGGCACACACAACAATCGGCAGAGGGAAGAGATGCACGGGCAGGCCCAGGGGAGACCAGGCACGCTTCCCTGGAGCCCCGGACAGCACTTAATTCTCCCAGCAGCGACCGTGACAGCACACTCAGAGCACTGACGGTCAGGGAAGCCGGCCCGAACGGTGGTGTCCAGGGTTTTGGGCAGTCATGTGGCACGGCTGAGCTTAGTCTCTAGCCTGCCCAAAGGTTGGACTGACACCATGGGGCCCAAGGCCCCATATAAATCACATTGTGAGCACAGACCACCTGGTGTGGCCCAAGGCCCCAGGCAAACAGGGACACTGTCATCAGGCAGGACATTCCAGGGCCTTAGAGCATTCTAGGGGCAAAGGGCCAGACCTTTCTTGGGCAAGGCTAACCCTTTACTGCACAGGCCGGCAGAGCCCAGACACTGGGGCCAGCTCAGCTGTGGCCTCTGGGGCCAAGCAGGTTGGCTGACAGCCTCAGGTTCTGCATCATGCTGGTCTTGAAGAAGATGTACCAGAGCCCCGCGGAGACGGCGGTGTGGCCAGTCCTGGTCGGATTTTCAGTTAATTCAACTAGGGACCAAGGACGGCCGCAGAGCTGCTGCGCTTCTGGAGGAACGACAGCAAATTCTGAGACACTCAGCCTCACACACAAAGGACGTGGGGCCTCGAGTCAGCTTTAATGGAAGGAAACTCGAGAACAAATTTAGCAGAGATGTGGAAACTGGAAACCCTCAGTGTTCTGCTCAGGATGAAAGCAGAGACTTTGAGAGCAGACATCAAGGAAGAGAAATCTAAACACTGAGCTCCAGTCGGCCTGGTGGCTGTGTCAGAAGGTTCATCCCTGGAAGCCGCATCAGCTCGGAGCAGCTGCAACACAACGGCCTCGGGAGCCCATCAGGAAACAGACGGCGGTTGACGGCCTGGAAGGTGCCTGGAGGCACAGCAGGAAAGGCCAACTCAAGAAGGGTCCCTCCGCCAGCGCGGGATGCCTCCCTCTGCCCACACAGCTGAGGACAGAGTCACCCACAGATGAGCCCCTTCTGTGGGCAAAGGCGCCCTCCCCGAGGGTGCTCCCGTTTTCCCTCTATCAGCTTTACTGCCATCAGGTGAGCGATTATGCCCCAGCTTGGATGAAGTGTGACAGGAGCTATGCTCCTGGGAATGATGTCGTATCAAGGCAGTTTATTTAAACTGAGTCTCATGAGAGATTGTCTCCTGTTGTAGTTCTAGCTGTTGCAAAGGTGGAATCGTGGTTTGTATTCCTGCCCCCATGTTGTGAACTCAGAAAGAATTGGAACAAGCCGTCCATCTTGCAGTTAGAGACATCAGAATCTCAAAGTACACTTCTGCAGGCCGAGAGCTGAATCCACTCTGTGATAAGATACAAACGTTCACCTGGATAAAGTCAACGTGGAAGAAAAGCCTTCTGAGTGTAAACCCCACAGCCTCCCGGGACCCACAAGGCTGGGCCAGGGATGGTATGCAGATCTGCCTGGCTGAGCCCTGGCCCCCGGGCCCTCACCTCACTGCCCACGCTGCTGCCTCTGCTCAAACCCCTCTCCCACAGCATCCTCATCCACGGGTCCTGGATGTCACATCCTGGGAGAAGCAGTGACTGATCTCCCACCAGATGGTTCCTGTGGTTCTGCCCATCACCACACCCAAGTCGTCACCCGTCCTTATTTCTGTGATTTCATAATTGTGGGTGCCATCACTGTTCGATGCGCATGGCTGCTCACAGCTCCACGTGGTCACACCTGTGGTCCACTTCTTTCCACTGACCGGACCTAGGTTTGCAGGGTGTGGGAGGGCTGCTGACCACCCTTGCTGCTCCCTTGGCCCTTTGTGACACAGGGGTCCGGCCCAGCCCCTGTGGCCGACAGGACCTGAGGCACGCTGTTGGGGCCTCCTGCACACTGGGACCCCAGCTGCTCCAGGGAGGGGGGCGTGTGGCTCCTCTCATGCCCTCCACAGGATAGTGGGCACACAAAGAGCCCCGGGGGCCCACAGCCCTGCTCTCCTGACTCTGGGAGGGGGAAGCCCCAGTGCGCCAACAATCCCCCAAATAAGCCTTCCCCTGCGTCCTTCCTTACACACCTCCCCTGTCCCACCATCTGGCCCTTTACACACCGGCGGGGGAGCCAAGGGCCCTGAGGCCATGCGGGCCACGTGGGCAGATCAGGCGTTGGTTGGAAGCCCAGCCTCCAGCCCCAGACACTTGTAGCCTCAGTTTCCTCATCCGGAAATTGCTCCAACCTGGGGTGGGTTGTGGGCATTGCATTGAATTAATAGGCATTTAGGTTTCAGGACAGATGGCGTTTTATTCTTTTAAATCTTGACCTTGTCAGGCGCCCTGGGGCTGTAGCTCTGGTTGGAGGGGGCTCTCTGTGACGCGGCCCCGGCTGCCCGCGCACCTGCGGCAGAGGCTGAGGGGCCCACAGGTGCCCAGCGGCCCGGGCCCTCAGCTGCAAGCATGTCCTTGCTCCGGGGAGGCTGCACATCCTGGCACCTGGGTTTCAAGGGGGTAGATCCAGAGCTTTCATTCCTGCCCTCGGTCGAGGGGCCACTTATACCAACAATCCGAGCCCAGGGTGGGGCCTGGGCACAAGGGCAGCTGGACAAAGTAATACATGCGCCACTCAGAGTCGACTTCTCCTGCACGAAAAGCATTATTTCCATCAGCTTGTAGTGTGGCCCCTCATGTGCTCCAGAGGAGAGAATCTATTACTTGTTCAAAACCAGGTTTCCTGAGGAAACTGCAAACTCCAATACTGACAGTGAGTCACTAAAAGCTGTGTGGGATGGCACGCCTGGCGTTGTGCAGGATAATAACGGAGCCTGTGTGTTCTGAGGCTGAAGCTTGTCACCTCACCGATTCTCCTCCTGGGAAACTGGGCCATCAATGAGGGGAGGCCCTGCTGCACTGTCCGCACCTCGCTGAGGGCAGCAAAAGTGATGGGCCCGTCCCCAACACCTGCCGAGGCCACAGCTGCACCATCCCTGAGCGCCCACCTCCCGAGACCCTCATGACACGACCTCTCCCAGCACCCAGCACTCCAGCACCAGCTCCCCGGTTCAGACAGGACGGCACGCACAGGCACCGTCCCCCCAGGTGCAGAGCTGGCAGTCAGAGAGGCAGAGGAGCACCAACTTCTGGAGCCTGAGTGCCACCCGACACCCCGGCTCTGTCCACACCTCCCTCCTTCCCTGACCGCATGCTCCTCCTCTCCCTCTCCTCTGACCCCAGAGCAACAAAGGTCACGGGGACGCTCGGGAGGATCCGCAGTGGAGGCGGGGGTTGCTAGGGGGCCAACCGCTTCCCTCCCGACTCGCACACTGACGTCCTGACCCCAGCGCCTCAGAACGCGACTGTGCGGAGACGAGGTCTGCAAGGACGTCCTGACCCCAGCGCCTCAGAATGCGACTGTGCGGAGACGAGGTCTGCAAGGACGTCCCGACCCCAGCGCCTCAGAATGCGACTGTGCGGAGACGAGGTCTGCAAGGACGTCCCGACCCCAGCGCCTCAGAATGCGACTGTGCGGAGACGAGGTCTGCAAGGACGTCCTGACCCCAGCGCCTCAGAACGCGACTGTGCGGAGACGAGGTCTGCAAGGACGTCCCGACCCCAGCGCCTCAGAATGCGACTGTGCGGAGACGAGGTCTGCAAGGACGTCCCGACCCCAGCGCCTCAGAATGCGACTGTGCGGAGACGAGGTCTGCAAGGACGTCCTGACCCCAGCGCCTCAGAATGCGACTGTGCGGAGACGAGGTCTGCAAGGACGTCCCGACCCCAGCACCTCAGAATGCGACTGTGCGGAGACGAGGTCTGCAAGGACGTCCCGACCCCAGCGCCTCAGAATGCGACTGTGCGGAGACGAGGTCTGCAAGGACGTCCCGACCCCAGCGCCTCAGAATGCGACTGTGCGGAGACGAGGTCTGCAAGGACGTCCCGACCCCAGCACCTCAGAATGCGACTGTGCGGAGACGAGGTCTGCAAGGACGTCCCGACCCCAGCGCCTCAGAATGCGACTGTGCGGAGACGAGGTCTGCAAGGACGTCCTGACCCCAGCGCCTCAGAATGCGACTGTGCGGAGACGAGGTCTGCAAGGACGTCCTGACCCCAGCACCTCAGAATGCGACTGTGCGGAGACGAGGTCTGCAAGGACGTCCTGACCCCAGCGCCTCAGAATGCGACTGTGCGGAGACGAGGTCTGCAAGGACGTCCTGACCCCAGCGCCTCAGAATGCGACTGTGCGGAGACGAGGTCTGCAAGGAGGTCCTGACCCCAGCACCTCAGAATGCGACTGTGCGGAGACGAGGTCTGCAAGGACGTCCTGACCCCAGCACCTCAGAATGCGACTGTGCGGAGACGAGGTCTGCAAGGACGTCCTGACCCCAGCACCTCAGAATGCGACTGTGCGGAGACGAGGTCTGCAAGGACGTCCTGACCCCAGCACCTCAGAATGCGACTGTGCGGAGACGAGGTCTGCAAGGACGTCCTGACCCCAGCACCTCAGAATGCGACTGTGCGGAGACGAGGTCTGCAAGGACGTCCTGACCCCAGCACCTCAGAATGCGACTGTGCGGAGACGAGGTCTGCAAGGACGTCCTGACCCCAGCACCTCAGAATGCGACTGTGCGGAGACGAGGTCTGCAAGGAGGTCCTGACCCCAGCACCTCAGAATGCGACTGTGCGGAGACGAGGTCTGCAAGGACGTCCTGACCCCAGCACCTCAGAATGCGACTGTGCGGAGACGAGGTCTGCAAGGACGTCCTGACCCCAGCACCTCAGAATGCGACTGTGCGGAGACGAGGTCTGCAAGGACGTCCTGACCCCAGCACCTCAGAATGCGACTGTGCGGAGACGAGGTCTGCAAGGACGTCCTGACCCCAGCACCTCAGAATGCGACTGTGCGGAGACGAGGTCTGCAAGGACGTCCTGACCCCAGCACCTCAGAATGCGACTGTGCGGAGACGAGGTCTGCAAGGACGTCCTGACCCCAGCACCTCAGAATGCGACTGTGCGGAGACGAGGTCTGCAAGGACGTCCTGACCCCAGCACCTCAGAATGCGACTGTGCGGAGACGAGGTCTGCAAGGAGGTCCTGACCCCAGCACCTCAGAATGCGACTGTGCGGAGACGAGGTCTGCAAGGGGGTAATTCATGCTAAGCGAGGTCGTTAGGGTGGGACCTAACCCAACAGGACTGGTGTCCTCCTGAGATCAGGACACAGACACACAGAGCGACGACCGTGTGAGGACACAGGGAGACGGCCATCTATGCCGGGGGAGAGGCCTCAGCAGGAACCAGCCCTACCCACACCCGCATCTCAGACTTCCAGCCTCCAGACAGAGAGAATAAACTCCTGACATTTAAGCCGTCCTGTCTGTGGGAGTTGGTCACGGGAAATGCACAGAGCCCAGTGCCAGGCCTCCCTGATTCTTTGCCTCCAGCCGCCCTGCCGCTCTAAGAAATGACCACGTGGTGGCTAACACGGCTGCTCCTCCGTGGCCAGCACTGGGCCGGGGCTTTCTAGTCACGCACTCTTCCTGTCCACTCCACGAACAGGCACGTTACCCTGTTTCACAAAAGATAACACTAGGAGAGGTTACACATCTCATCTGAAAACGGAGTCCAGGGTCCAGGACTGACCAGTCAGGGCCTCCTTTGCTCTTCAGTGACAACAGCTGAAACACAAGGCCGACCTGACACCAGAGGAGATGCAGATGTTGGGCGCCCACCCCTAGCTGCCTCTGGGAACTGCTCTCATTATTTCCCATATTTGCACCTAGGTGGCGCATAATCTGCACTTTTCACAGTTTCCCAAACCCAGATTCACTTAATAGGATTTTATTTTTACTGAACAAATCCTGCAGAGCTCACATTGGAAGCAGTGAGATGAATGGATTGTGGTGGTTATTCCTTGAGCTCATAAGATACCCCATGTGCAGCACAGAATGACACACAGGACCACAGCTCCTGCTCCACACGAGGCCGGGTATTTTCCACAGTCAGAGAAATAAGGATGAAAACCACAGCAAGCTACCACATCTCACCCATCAGACTGACACAGCTCCACAGGCTTGGCACTGTGCTCTGACGGCAGAGTGACAGGGGACAGGCATTCTCACACTCTGTTGATAGGAATACACGCCAGACAACACCTAAGGCAGGAATGTGCCTTTATCATTTGATTCAACAAAGCACGTCTAAGCACCCATCTCAAAGACACACAGACAAAATAACACGAGAAACCGTGTGTTCCAGTTTGTTCACCAGAGCCCTGGTTTCAATCACTAAAGGCTGGAAGCCACCCAAATGTCTACCACATGGAGATGGCTGAACAGACTGTTGTACATCCACAAATGGAGAAACATGCAGCTGTAACAAGATACAAGGAATATCTCTATTTACTGTAGGCGTTTCTCCAGGGTATAGGAAAAAAAGAATACAAAACAATGGAACTTCTGGAGGAAAAAAAATAACATCTGAAATGAAAACTTCACAGGATGAGCTTAACAGCAGTTTGGAAACTGCAGAAAAAGATCTGTGAACTTCAGTACATGGTGTTAGAAAGTATTCGAACCCAAGCACGTTGAAAATAAGCAGCGCCTCACTGACACTGAGACAGCATCAGGCTGCTCATATACGCATGACTGGCGTCCCAAAAAGAAGAGACAGACAGAAACGTTTGCAGAAATTGTGGCTGCCACATTTTCAAATCTGATGAAACTCACAAATTGAATAAGTTCAATAAGCCTCAGGCAGGGGAAGCCGCACCACAGTACATCATCAGCTGACTGCTGAAAACCAAGGACTTTAGAAAATTCTCAAAGCAGCCAAAGAGACATGCTACAAAGAAAGACAGGAATAACCGCTAATTTCTCACCAGAAACAACACAAGCCGGAGGACAATGAAACAACATGCTTTATCATGCTGGAAGAAAAAGCACCCACCAACCTAGAACTCCGTATCTTCCAAGAAAAGAGGGCAAATTAAAAACACTGACATACAAGCAATGGTCAACAGAATTCACCACCAGGAGACCTGTGAAACAAGAAACACCAAAGGAAGTTACCGAGGCTAAGAAAACGAACACCAGCTAGGAGCCAGGATGCAAACAAAGAAGCCGAAAGAGCAGGTAAATACATGTAGACATATAAAATAACTCCCTGCTCATTTTTAACTTATTTAAAAGATAATTGACTGTTTAAAGTAAAAGCGATGAGGCGTGACGGAGTCCACGACACACGGACAAGTAAAACGCGGGAAAAGAGAAAAAGGAGCAGAAGGGCAGAGACGAGGCGTGACGGAGTCCACGGCACACGCACAAGTGAAATGCGGGAAAAGAGAAAAAGGAGCAGGAGGGCAGAGACAGAACTGTACTGTTTAAAGCTGTCACAACCAACGGGAAGGGGCACAATACAATTTGACAGCAGACTGTCTTTAGGTGAAGCTGCACACTGACAACCACAGGAAAACCACGAAACAAAACAAAAAAGGCCAAGCTGAGAGGCCAATAAAGAAGATATCTTTAAATCCTTAAAAATACAAAAATAAGAATGAGAAAAAGAAGGCAGAAAAAACAGGAAAAAGAACAAAGAACTGATGGGACAAATAGAAAACCACATTGATAACTGCATTACATTTAAATGACGTAATACTTGAATTAAATGGCAGAGACCATCAACCAGAATGAAAAAAGGAAGAACTGGGCAGCCCCAGCGGCCTAGCGGCCAAGTTTGGCGTGCTCTGCTTCAGCTGCCCAGGTTCAGTTCCCGGGCGCAGACCTACACCACTCGTCAGCCATGCTGTGGCAGCACCCCACGCACAAAACAGAGGAAGAGGGGCACAGATGTCAGCTCAGGGCAACTCTTCCTCAAGCAAAAAAGAGGAAGAGTGGCAACAGACGTAAGCTCAGGGTGAATCTTTGTCAACAAACAAAGAAGAAAAAGGAAGAACTCGCTCTAAACTGTCTACAAGAAACACATCTTACACATAAAGACACAGACGCTAAAAGTAAAAGAGCAGAAAAGGACATGCCAGGGAAACATCAAAAGAATCAAAACTAAAGTTGAAGTAGTTACGTTACCGTGCAACAGAGCAGACTTCAGAACAAGGACTATCAGCAGGGACAAAGGACGCCTCACAACCACAAAGGGGTCAGTTCATCAAGAAGACGTAACAGACCCAATGACGCACCTAACAACGGAGCTTCAAAACACATAAAGCAAAAACTAACAGAAATGGAGGGAGAACACAAAAATCACTCATTGTTACGATGTGATTAAACTGGATATCATAAACATTCTACACTTTTGCCCTTTGAAAGACATCCTTAAGAATACAAAAGACAAGGAATACATTGGGAGGAAATATTCACGATACATATGTCTAACAAAGTACTCATATGCAAAATATACCCTGAACTCTCACAATCTAGGAAGACGAGAGCATACAACCCAATTTTTAAAATGGGCACAAGATTTGGAAAGAAACCTCATAAAATAGACGAATGACCACTAAGCACATAGAAATGCTCAACATCATTAGGAATCAGGAAAACGCAGATTAAAACTACACTGGGACATCACTATATACCTACTACAAGGAATACATTTGAAAGGACAGAAATTACCAAGTGTTGGTTTTAAAGCAACTAGAACTCTCAAAAGTTGCTGGCAACAGTGTGAATGACTCAACTAAAGTGGAGAATTGTTTGGCAGCTTCTTAAGATGTTACACATACACTTACCACATGACCCAGCAATTCTACTGCTGGGTATTTACACAAGAGAAATAAAAAGATATAACTATGAGAGACCTGCATTCGATGCTCATAGCAGACTTTTTCTTTGTAGCCGAAAATGGGCACATCCCTAATGTCCATCAACAGGTGAATGGTTAACAAACTGTGGTACGTCCACAGCATGGAATTGTACTCAGCAAGGAGAAGGCCCCTTGCTACACGCAACAATGATGAATTCCACAAACACCGTGCCAAGAAGCCAGACGCAAAAGATTGAATGATTCTGTTCATGTAAAACTCTAGGACTCAACTAATGCGCAGGCACAGAAAACAGATGAGTGTTGCCTGGGAGCTGAGCAGGGGGTGGGCACTGACCACAAAGGGGCAAGAAGGAGTTTCTGAAGTGACAGGAAAGTTCTCCATCTTGTAACCGGGGTTCATGGGTGAAGACATCTGTCCAAACTCACAGAAATGCTCTTAGAGTCTTTATGTAAATTACACAGCAGTAAACTTGACTTAAATGGGAAAAAAAACCTAGAGCTAACAACTAGGACATCCTTCCAAATGAAAATAAAACCACTACCAGGAGAATCATCACTCTCCTTGTCCTTTGCCAGCATCATGCTCAGAGAGAACTGAGGTTCTCTCCTCCCCTCTGACAGCAGCCCCTGCTCCTGAGAGCCCAGACCCCCAGCATTCATCCAGAGCAGCCAATAGTTATTCATCCTCAGAGCTGGTGGTGAGCAGTTCTTGGAGCCAAAAGATAAGGAAAAAAACCTGGGATCATACCAAGAGTCCCTTCGGCTTGAGGCTTACCAGGAGTGAAGTAAGGAAAGGCCCTTGGGGAGAGGGCAGGTGGGGTGGGCCACGGGGGAAGGCATGCCGGCTCCCAGGGGCCCCCGACGGGGCAGCCTCCTGTTCCTCTAGGTACCCCCACCCCGTTAGAAAGTGGAGGGCCGGCTCTGTGACACAGCCTATGCATGGTTGTGTGCACACGAGCTCTGATCCCAGCCAGCACCCGACTGACGTCGGAGGGGCCCTGAGAACGAACTGCACCCCACTCCGGAGGAGAACGGTGGCATTCAGGGCCCCCAACCGGACGCCCACATCCAACAGTAAGCTCTCCACCTACCACCTTAGGAAGCAGTCCCAGGGGGGCTGCTCGCACACGGGAGCTGCCCTAGGCAACTTCCCGACAAGGGAAACATCTTCTTGGGCGGGAACAAAATCCTGTGGGAGTCCCGGCCAGGAGGGCCAAGCATCGGACAAGTCCGGCGGCAGACACCCGGGATGACCGGGAGGGCAGAGGTCGGGCTGGTCACCGGGGTTTGCGGCTGACCTTCTAGAAAGCCCTGCAAGGCCTTTTCGTAGTTCCCAGGTGCACAAGGAGGAGGTCGCCCAGCTTCGCGCGACGGCTCTGGTCCTGGTCGACCGTAAACACCTGCACCCGGGACAGAACTCAGGGTCAGAACGCGGCCCGCGAGAGAAGGGGACGGGAAGCTGCGCCCGGACTTCGGGGCTCCGCAGCCCTCCCGGGGCCGCCCGTCCGCCGCGCTGAGGGTCGGGAGAGGTGGGCGCCAGGTGGGACCCGCCGCCCTCCCAGTGGGGCTCCACAGTGACGTCCCGACATCGGCGCTCTGACTTCCGCGACTCCACAAACTGCGCCTCTTATTGACGTCACCCCAGACTGAAAGGGCCTCCCGAGAGCGCTCAGCCCGGCGTCGCTCCGGCAGGCTCCGCGAACGCTGGCGTTCACCCCCTTGTCGTTCCCGCCGCATCCTCGGGGGACCCCGGGGACCCCGGGGACCCCGCCGCTCCACCGGCGAAGCCCTGCCACGCCGATGTCCTAGCACCCGCGGCCCGCGGGGCACGCCAGGAGCGCGGCGCCGGCGAGTGTCGTCACTCCGCCGCCGCCGCGCTCCTGGCGCGTACGTGCGCGTGTGCGCGGCGACGACAGGACTACGCTTCCCAGGGGGCCACGCGGCGCGCGCACTTCCGGCTGGGCCGCGGACCCGGAAGCGGCGGAGGGCCGGCGAATCCCGCGGCGACAGCTCGGCGGCGGCGGCGGTGGGAGCATGCGGGGCGGTCGGCGGCCCGGGGCGCGCGGCGCGTTCGTTCCCCCGCGGCGGTGGTGGCGGCGTGAGGCGGTTCTCGCGTGAGCGGCGGCGGCGGGGCGCCGGGGCCGGCGGGCGCCATGTGGAGCGGCCGCAGCTCCTTCACCAGCCTGGTGGTGGGCGTGTTCGTGGTGTACGTGGTGCACACCTGCTGGGTCATGTACGGCATCGTCTACACGCGCCCGTGCGCCGCGGACGGCAACTGCATCCTGCCCTACCTGGCGCGGAGGCCCAAGCTGCAGGTGAGCGGCGGGGGCATGGGGGCTGTCACCTGCGCGCGGGCCGGGCCGGGCAGGGGGCCCCTTCTCTCCGGGCCTCCGGGTCTGGGCTGGAGGCTGCTGGCCTGGCGCCTGGCCTGAGGGGTCGCAACCTGAAAACCCGGCCTGTGCGGTGCCCCTGACGGGCCCCAGCGCTGCCCCTCGTCCCGCTCGAGGTGTCCAGACTCGGCGTCCCCCCCGGGTCCCTCCGTATCTGTACACAGTAGCGCTTTGTCTCTGTGCAGCGGTCCTTCCACAGGTCCGAGTTCTGTCCGTTCGGAGAAAGTGAGGCCTCCGCCCCGGGCAGCTGGTCAGATGGTGCCCCCTCGGCGCAGCGGTGTGAGTGTGTTTTCTGCCAGGGCTAATTTTCTTGGCGCTCTTTCCAGCTGAGCGTGTACACGACCACCCGGTCCAACCTCGGGGCAGAGAACAACGTGGATCTGGTCTTGAACGTGGAGGACTTCGACGTGGAGTCCAAATTTGAAAGGTGTGGTTGTGGGACAAAGTGCCAGTGTTGGGGAAATGTTGTTAACTTTGAGATCGTTTGAAAGCGGGTGTTCTGTACGTAGTGAAGTTACCATTATGAAACAGGAGATATTACCTAGTGGATGGTGGAACATTTTAACCGGAGACGTGTGTGATGTGTACATAGTCAAACGTTTGTTGTACTTGAAGGTAGCAAATGACTTTGTCCCTTAGGAAGTAGCTTACACCAGCATCTGGGATGCACAGCCACCGGGACTTTCCAGAGGAGCAGGGGTTGGGGTGGGGATGAGCTGCTGAGGAAGAGAGAGCTTATGTGGTTCCCACAGCAAACAATTGTCTCTCCCTAACGGAAGGAGCTTTAAAGTTATATTTAACATGTGGTTCTGGTTTTTAAGATTTCTACAAGCGTAATTTAAGAAACAGTTTGCTTATCAGGAGTCTGCCTCTCCCTCTGCGCTGTCTGGGAGGTATCGGGTGACAGTCGTGGAACCTGTGACAGTGGGCTGGACTAACCTGGCTCTAGCCAGCCTGCCCCATTAGAGGGCTGTGGGGGGCAGTGCTGTGGGCTGGGGAAGCACATGCTCTCGGGGCAGCCCCTGCCTGCCTGGCCACTTGAGCCTGTGACCTTGGCCAGTGACTGACCTCTCTGAGGGCCATGGCATGGAGGCAGGAAACGCAGACTTTCAGCTTTCGGGGTAGCTGCCCACTTTTAGGATGAGCTCTGTAAACTTCTGCGTTTAGAGCTTCAGGAAACTGGGCAGGTGGGTTTCATTTTTAGTGCTTTTTTTTTTTTGAAGATTGGCCCTGAGCTAACATGTTTGCCCGTCTTCTTTTTTGCTTCCCCTCTCTCTTCTTCTTCTCCTCAAAGCCTCCCAGTACGTAGTTGTATATTCTGGTTGTAGGTCCTGTTGGTTATGCTGTGTGGGATGCCGCCTCAGCATGGCCTGATGAGCGCCACCCTGTCCGTGCCCAGGATCCAAACTGGAGAAACCCTGGGCCACTGAAGTGGAATGTACAAACTTAACCACTTGCCCGACCCCTCACTTTTAGTACTCATAAAGCTAAAATCAGTTAGTTTGAAACAGCATAACTTATCAAGATGTTGAGTAGCCTCAGCCGTGTGTGTACGTAGAACACAACGTGGTTGAAATTGACATCTATTCTGTTTTAGGACAGTTAATGTTTCTGTACCAAAGAAAACCAGGAACAATGGCACTCTGTACGCCTACATCTTCCTCCACCACGCTGGCGTTCTGCCGTGGCACGATGGAAAGCAGGTGCACCTGGTGAGCCCTCTGACCACCTACATGGTCCCCAAGCCAGAAGAGGTCAATTTGCTCACAGGGGAATCAGCGACACAGGTGAGCCCCTCCCTCAGGCTACCAGCTGAAGGAAGCCCGTGCTTCCTCTGGAATTCACACCTGCATGTCCCTGTTTGTGGCCGCCTGCTTCTGCGGCTGGAGTGGCTATTGGAAAACAAAGCAATTTGTCATTATTCGCATACATATCTGTGTTTCAGCTGAATAATTGCCTATGGGTTTGCAGGTAAACGTTACATCAGATTAGTGACATGTGATTTAAGTAATCCACTGACATTGTTTGCCTAGATTCTTCTTCAGGCCGTGGGCCCTCTCGGTCAGCCCCCAGAGCGTGTGCACCCTGGGGGCATGCAGGGTGGCCCCTCTGCAGAGCTCAGCCACAGGCGCACACGGAGTGGGGAGACTCGCCTGCACTGTGTGTAGGACGGATGGGACAGCTCTTGAGTGTTTAGTCTAAGAGTTTAATTCAAAATTGTGAGGCAGGCCCATGTACAGATTGCATTTGTGCATCATAGAAAACTGGATGTACAAAGAAACCCCAGAAACCAGCTGAGCGGTCACTAGTGAGGCCGTGGACAGAGCAGAGGGGTTCTGCCCCTCGGGCCTGTGTTGATGGAAGGTGAGGTGACTGACAAACGAGGCAGTGGCTTTCCCAAAGTGTCTGTGAAGCTGCCCCATGCTGCATGTCCTTGGGGAGACCCCTCTTCTCCCTTCCCTGGGGACAGCACGGCCCTGCCTTGTGGGCCTTCCTAGGGCATCATGGAGGCGGGGGTTGTGAAAGGTGTGGAGGAGGCTTTGGAACATACAAATGCCGAATAAGTGTTAGCTGTTACTGGTATTTGGGAAACCGTTTTTAATATAAACTATTGTGGATAAACTGTATCTTTAGGCAGGAGATAGATGAAATGACACTGTTTCATAGAATTTATTAGTTAGATCTGAAATGAAGATTTTGCTGCCCATCGGTTTCTGAATTTAGCTGTGTTTAAGGTCGATGCCCAGTTGTTGGCACAGCTCCTTCCAGACAACTTGACGCACCTGGTTTGGAAGCAGTTCACCTGCACACCGCAGGGCTGTTAGCTCCTTATGCCTCCTGCAAATGCCCCAGGAACTCGCCCTTCTTGGATCCCTGAGAAAGGGCCTGCTTGGGCTGAGGACCCAAAATAGGAGTCAGTGAGATCCAGGACCACATATTGCAAAACTGCACCCCTCTGGCTTCTGTTGGGAGAAGGAAGTGAGGGTGCAGAGTCTGGAGGAACTGGCGGCCATGGGTCCCGTGCGCTCTGTGGGCTCTGCTTCCCGGTTGTGCTGTCTCGGCATGTGGGCTGTTCCCAGGTGGAGGTGCCAACCACTGCCTCAGACCCTCCCAAGCACGATGTTGTTGCCACGTTTCCTCTTCTTCTGCCAAGTCACTCCTGTCATTTAACAGCAGATCGAAGCAGAGAAGAAGCCGACAAGTGCCCTAGACGAGCCCGTTTCTCATTGGAGACCAAGACTAACACTGAACGTGATGGTGGACGACTTCATCTTTGACGGGTCCTCCCTGCCCGCTGACGTGCATCGGTACATGAAGATGTAAGTGCCGCTGGGCTGCCGGAGAGCTGAGGACCAGCACCGTCGGAGGGAGGCCGCAGGATGCCTTTACCTGCCCGGCCTCAAGCATGGCTCATTCACTCCCTGCGCTGACAGCATGGGGGATGACCACAGGGGTGTTGGGGGTGGAGGAAGCCCCCTGGGATCGTGGCCAACCGGAATCCAGAAACGGGTGGGGGTGCAGCTCGTTGGACCTTGAGCCAGCTCCCTGTGATGAGAGCCCAGAGCAGCAGGTGCCCCTGGAGCCCTCTCTTGGCGGGCTTGCTGGTCGAGGTTGCAGCAGGTACCCCTGGAGCCCCTCTCTTGGCGGGCTTGCTGGTCGAGGTTGCAGCAGGTGCCCCTGGAGCCCCTCTCTTGGCGGGCTTGCTGGTCGAGGTTGCAGCAGGTGCCCCTGGAGCCCCTCTCTTGGCGGGCTTGCTGGTCGAGGTTGCAGCAGGTGCCCCTGGAGCCCTCTCTTGGCGGGCTTGCTGGTCGAGGTTGCAGCAGGTGCCCCTGGAGCCCTCTCTTGGCGGGCTTGCTGGTCGAGGTTGCAGCAGGTGCCCCTGGAGCCCTCTCTTGGCGGGCTTGCTGGTCGAGGTTGCAGCAGGTGCCCCTGGAGCCCTCTCTTGGCGGGCTTGCTGGTCGAGGTTGCAGCAGGTGCCCCTGGAGCCCTCTCTTGGCGGGCTTGCTGGTCGAGGTTGCAGCAGGTGCCCCTGGAGCCCTCTCTTGGCGGGCTTGCTGGGCGAGGTTGCAGCAGCGCATCGGACGGAAGGATGAGACCGGGAGGGAGTCCTCCTGCCCCTTGCTCTTGGCAGAGGCTTCCCCTGGAGAGAAGTGGGGGGCACTGATGAGACCGTGTCCCTCTGCACCCCTGGAGGTTTCGTCCTGTGTGCATATTGACTACCTCTGTTAGGAATCTCACAGTTTGTTCATCTTACATTTTTTAAAAATCTGTCTTTAGATAGTTACATTACTCTCACTTGCCATCGTTGATTAAGCATTACTGTTGAAATAGTTTGACCAACGTAGATTATCCTGCGTCTCCGTTCCTTGGGGAGCCCCCTGTTAAGATCTCGAGCTAGATAGTCACGTGGCACCTTGAAGTGGCTGTAATGAGAATAGTTTTCCTTTTTCACTTTTCAGTGGTTCCTAGGGTATCGTCACGAGATTTTGCCTTTTTAAAATTTCGCTCTTGTCTTTGAATATGTAATCCATGCACGCAGTTCAGAGTGTAGAAGGTACAGAGAGGTCACTGGGTGAAGAGCCCCTGCTGCCGTCCCCCAGCCCCCCTAAGGATGTCGCAGGGAGGCAGGCTTTCATTTCTGTTGTCACTGCGTCACCTGACCACACCATGTCAGTGCACAGAGGGGCCCGTCACTCTTTCTGCAGCCCAGATGTGTTCCACTGTGTGGCTGGGTCCCCGTTTGTTTCCCTACCTCCCTGGTGGCCACTGCACTCCCCGCCCCCCGCCCCCCCCACCGTGGCCGTGACAGTCAGGGAAGAGTGCAGCTTGTTAGACCCCGCTGCTTCTGCTGGGAAGTTGGTCCTGGGACTGTGACCCAAAGCAGCTGAAGGCGCTGGTGGGAGGCTTTCTGGATAAATCCAGCGTCGCAGGGCTGCATGTCATCCTCGGAAGGTGAAAGAGCTCGCGCTGACTCTAAAAACGGTGCTTCTGTCCCCCAGGATCCAGCTGGGGAAGACTGTGCACTACCTCCCCATCCTGTTCATCGACCAGCTTAGCAACCGAGTGAAGGACCTCATGGTGAGTGTCACTCCCTTCTGGACGCCCGCCACCTCGCGTGTGTGTCTGCCTCCTCGGCCCTGCTGTGGGCACTCATCCTGTGTCTCTGCCTTGGTGTGGGTCTGCTCCAGGCTTGCCGCTGGCCGGCAGTGGGATCCTGACGAGCCGGTCCTCCCCGAGCCCGTGCACCCTCGCTGGTGAGAGGCTCTAGGGAGGTCCTTTGCTGACTGTGTGGACAGTGGGCATGGAGGGGCCAGCAGCTTGCAAACGCTGCTCCAGTGGACCCGAGCTTTCTGACTCAAAGGCACAGGCCGATTCAGAAAGCGCTGGAGCAAACCGCCACCTCCAGGGCTGGCCCTGTCCTGTGTCGCCACCCACCCGCCTTGGAGCCCATGGCTGCCGAGGGCGGCCCGAGGGCCCGGCTGAGACACGCTGGTGCACAGGCACTCTGGCGCTCTGTCATCCGGGGTAGCGATGGTGCCTCCCCTCCCTGGTGGGCTGGAGGCTGAATGAGACCCGCTGATCTTCGGCCAACAGTGGTCACAAGGGTTGACTCTGATGTCACTTGCCTTGTGCCAGGCACTGCGCCGAGCACGAGATGGACGCTGTACAGTCCCGGTCCTGTCCTGCGGAGACGTCACTACTGGCCGTGTTTCACAGGGGGCTTGTTTAGGGTCACAGGGTGACCTGAGCAGCATTGATTAACCTCTGTTGTTGCCACCTGGTCATCTATGAGCGTTTGCCGGCAGCCAGGCCGTATCTTCTCTCCCTTGGCACTCTCAGCGTCTCTGAGGTGGACACTTTCCCTGTGTCATGGGCGAGAGGGCTGAGGCCTGGAGAGCGTAGGGGCCTTGTTGGGCCCCGAGCCCCACTCTACTGCCTCCTGCTGGCCAAGACACCCAGGATGGACCGTCACTGCACCGCTGTTCACTGGGGCCCCACCAGGTCCCTGAGACACGGGGCCCTCTTTTCCTTGGGGCCTCCTGCACCTGTGTGGCCTGCCAGTTGGGACGGGCAGTCACGGGCCTTTCTCCGTGTTTTCTGGAGTGTACTGTGGTGCTGTGTGCAAACCTCAGGCTGTAGCGGGTTCTGCTGAACTGCACAGATAGTGCTTTGTTGCCATCGAGGCTGCTGTGGTCGCTGTATAAGGCCCCGGTGCTCGCTGGCAGACGCTCAGGAAGTGGTGAGGAGGGTGTGGTGGGGCGGCGTCAGCAGGGCACCTGCCTTCTGTATCGTCGTGTGGGTTAGTGGCCACGTGCTGCACGGTTCCGTGAAAGGCCTGAGGGTGCCGAATGCCATTGTCTGCAGACACAGAAGCATGCGTGCAGGCAGCTCGCTCTCCCCACGTCCTCTTCTGCGTCACTCACCCTTCGTCTCACTTGGAGCGACATTTTGGAAGGAATGCTGTCTTTGGAGAACCACCAAGCCCGCTGGGGTGATGGGGCGCTGCCCACCGCCTGGGGCTTAGTCAGTGGCCTCCGTGGGAGGGGACTGACCTGTGGCCCGCCTGCCCTGAGGTCGGTGCCCTGCATGGGGTGACCCAACACCTGGGCCTGGTGTTGGGGTGATCGCCATGCTCTGGTTACCAGGCTTGCGACATCAGCAATGTTCACAGCATGGGGTCGTGGGGAGTGCGTTAGGGCTGGTGGGTCCAAAAGCATAGCCGTCACGTGATGTTGTGGAATGTGGTGCTCGTGTACCCGGGACCCTTGGGAGTGGGGGTCACTGTCCCATGTGCTGGGGGTGCCTCTCCCCACGGTGTCTTGGGACCTGGCCATGGTGGCCACAGTACCCAGACTCACATTGCTGCGGGCCCCTGTGACCTGCCTGGCTCCCTGAGGCAGCACCCCCAGTTCTATACGTCCTCATGAGCCCCCTCTAGTGCCGCCTCTCCCTGAAGCTGCCCACCATCCCGGATGAGCGTGACCACCCTGCCTGCTCTCCAGCCGTTGGCCTCTCGGGAGCATGCGGCTGTGGGTGCGGCTGGGCCCTGTCCCTCCCATGTGTCCAGCCCTCTCAGGCCGGGTGCTGCGGGTCCCACGCACACACTGGTGCTGCTGCTCGTGCTGAGGAAGGACAGGCAAGGGAGGGCCAGCTCGCAGGGCTGTGGTCACGCAAGACACTGAGGGATGAGAGTGTGTCCCTCAGGAAATGCCATGAGCATGTTACAGAGGGGGAGCCCCTGTCCTGGGAGGAAAGAAGCGTGGGCGCTGAGCCCTGGGGTGGCAGGTGAGAAATTCAGCCCCGTCTGACCCGACGGCCTGGGACCCAGAATGAGCATCTAGCCAGACTGGCCGTGTGGGCCCCAGCCTCTGCGTTCTGGGGCCTGTGGCTGGTGTGGAGCGTGTGGAGGGAGGTGCTGTCCATGCAACCTGGCCTAGGCTCTGCGGCACCTGGGGGCGGGGCTGTTGGCGGGCCTCTAACTGCCGTCCTCCCTCCAGGTCATAAACCGCTCCACTACCGAGCTGCCGCTCACTGTGTCCTACGACAAGATCTCGCTGGGGCGGCTGCGCTTCTGGATCCACATGCAGGACGCCGTGTTCTCCCTGCAGCAGTTCGGTGAGGCTGCCCGTGGGCCGTCCGGAGCCTAGTGGACAGAGCCGTTTGTTACCTCTCAGTCCACGTAGCTTTACACGAACTTGCGGAGGCTCTGTGCCTCCCGGTGCAGGTTCTTTCTTGTCACTCCCATCAAAGGGTCACTAGTGTCTTGTCTCCATTTTCTGACCTTGAAAACGTCCTTGTCGAGGACCTGAAAAAAGTTTGCTGTTTTCAGATCATGATATTCGAGAGGCCACCGTTTGGGTTGCCACCCTTCGCGGCTGGGGAGACAGACTCTTCCCTTCGGCAGCAGCTCTGTGACGTCAGGTCAGGTCCACCTGCCTGTTCACATTGTACGTTTTTTTGTGTTTCTTCAGGATTTTCAGAGAAAGATGCCGATGAAGTGAAAGGCATTTTTGTTGACACCAACTTGTATTTCTTAGCGTTGACCTTCTTTGTCGCGGCGTTTCACGTGAGTGGGTCACTGTGTTCTTGTTGACAAATGGTTGTGGCAGGTGCGGGCAGCTCCACGGGTGCCAGCGTCCTCAGCTGGGGGACTTGGGTGGCACTGCCCAGCTCGGTGGCCCCTCAATGTCCAGCAGACCTAAGACCAGGCAGGCTGTCGTCCTGGGGCCTTTCTCCCAGCTCAGAACGGGGGGGTCTATGACATCTGAACCTCAGGGCACTGGCTACCGTAAGGCCTTGGTGCTTTGTCTGCTGGTTGTGGGGGCCGATTTGAAAAGAACTCCAGAATCAGTGAGGTTAGTGAATGACTTTGAGGAGTAAGTGCCACATTGTATAAATTCTAGCATGGGGAATTTAACATTGAAAAACGAGCCCTGTGTGTAGTAGAGTCCCTCTTGGAATATGGCTGGGGAAAGCCGTGCCCCATGGGGCAGCCGTGCTGGACTCGGGGTCTGGGTGGGAAGGGTGGGAATCAAAGGCCACTGGAGCAGTGCTTCAGCCGGTGCTCAGAGCCTGGGGGTTGGTCCCCAGTCAGGCTGAAACCTTCCAAAACTGTGCCAGCAAACAGCAGTTTTATCAACAGGTCAGCATGTCAGAACCAGGCCGTGTGCTCCCCAGCGGGCACACTGTCTGCCCTCACTGGCAGCGCAGGGCGAGGGCAGGGAAAGGATGCTTCCAGACGTCCTGTGGGCCCCTCCCCCACACGAGCTTGTAGTCAGAGATGCCCGGGGTAGACGTGGCCCCTGTGAATCCCAGGGCGGTCGATGAGACACGTGGCTTCGGGCTTTCCAGACACTTGGGGTCCATCTTGATGTGTCCTTGCAATTTGGGCCCAGTGCACACTTGCATCTCATGGTGAATACAAGTGACGGGAACAACTGAGATGCAAATTGCTGTCCTTTCTACTTTTCAGCTCCTTTTTGATTTCCTGGCATTTAAAAATGATATCAGTTTCTGGAAGAAAAAGAAGACCATGATTGGAATGTCCACTAAAGCAGGTAGGGGCGCTCAGAACTTCGACCCATTCCTATGGCATGTGCTGCTGTTGGTAAAGTTTGTTTGGAAAGCTGGCATCAGGGACCCTCTAGGAGAAAGGCTACTTGGGACCTCAGCCCCTGCTGTCGTTCAGGAGAGGCCGCCCTAGACCATGCTCCCAAGAACCCGGGGACGGAGCTGTCTCAGGTCACAGTGGACGTCGTGGGGTCTGTGACCGTGGAGGACAGAGGGCCGTGGAGGCCGCAGAGCCAGGCCGGCCTCAGCAATACGTGGACGTGGGTTCTCAGTGCACATCTCTGTAGGTCAGGGGTTGGTTTGCCTGCCAACTGAGTCTCAAAAAGAGGCAGTTCTTTTTCTCCTGTGGAAGCGACACCTAAGTGGGTGGTCTGGCTGCTTGGGGCCCCCCCCCATGTCACGTGTCTCAGATTCCTCTGTCCTGCCCTCTGCTTTCCTCGGGGAGGATGGGGCCCCTGCTGGGTCCTCCCACCCCCTCCCCTGGCCTTTTCTGGGCCTGGGGGGCAGCAGATGGCTGTGGCCGTGAGTAGGGGGTGTGGGCCCACAAGTCTGTGCCCACAGAAGGCAGCAGCTTCCTTCCCCCGGAGTCCACCCGCCGTGAGCGCTCACGTGGAGCTGCTCCGCCAAAGGCGGCAGCAGGACACGCATGGTCCAGTCTCTTCTGAAGGACAGGTTGAGGGACAAAGCACAGCTTCTGAGAGATGGACACAGTTATCACAGACGTGGTGTAAAAATAGGAGGGCATGGGGGTCAGCCTGCTTGTGTAGTGGTTAGTTCACATGCTCTGCTTCAGCGGCCCAGGGCTCATGGGTTCAGATTCAGGCACGGACCCACACCACTCGTCAGCCATGCTGTGGGGGCGTCCTACATCCAAAATAGAGGAAGATGGGCACAGCTGTCAACTCAGAGGCCATCTTCCTCACCAAAAAAAAAAACCACAAACAGGCAAGTGCAGCATCACAGTACAGGAGCAGTAGTCTGCACGGTTCCAGTCAGAAGCCTGTTTTCTCGGCATCTTTTCTGTGCTTTTGTGTGTTTGCAGATAGAACTTACTCAGGTTTGCAGAGCTGAGAGTTCCTTCAGTTCTGTAGCCTTTAGTAGTCCTTTTGAAATGTTATCTGTGGCTCCAAATGGTCCACTGTCTTTTTTAATGGAGTGGAGGGAGGAATGCTTGAAGCTCTGTGTGCCTGCACGTGGAGGGCTGAGTGTCGGGGCGGGGCTGCGTACGCGTCGGGGTGTGCACGTGGTGCTGTGTATGTGGGTGTGTGCATGGGGGCTGCTTACATGCGTGTAGGGGTGCATATGTGTGAGGGTGTGCACGTGGGGCTGCATACATGTGGGGCTGCATACGTTTGGGGGTGTGCATGTAGGGCTGCATATGGGTATGGGGGGCTGCATACGGGTGGGGGTGTGCATGTGGGGGTGTATATGTGTGTGTGGGTGTAGGGGGCTGCATACATGTAGGGGTGTCCGTGTGGGGCTGCATACGTGTGTGTGGGGCTGCATAGGTGTGGGGGCCTGCATATGTGCGTGGGTGTGGAGGACTGCATACATGTTTGGGGGGCTGCATACGTGTGGGGGTGCACATATGGGGTCTGCATCCATGTGGGTATGGGGGCTGCATATGTGTGGGGTGTGGGTGGGGGGCTGCACACGTGTGGGGGCTGCACACCCATAGGCATGTGTGTGAGAGAGTGGGGGCCGCCAGCCCCCCTTAGCGTGGCCCACCCTCTCCTCCATTCCCAGTGCTCTGGCGCTGCTTCAGCACAGTGGTCATCTTCCTGTTCCTGCTGGACGAGCAGACGAGCCTGCTGGTGCTGGTCCCGGCGGGCATCGGAGCTGCCATCGAGGTGAGTTGGGTCGTCCCTCTGGGCAGTGGTCTGAGTTGTCCAGTCCTTGGGCCGAGCTCTCAGTGCCTCAGACCCTGCATTGCTGCCCGAGGAGTGACGCGCAGCTGCCTCGGCAGGCAGGGTAGGGCACCGCAGCCGTGGGCTCTTGCACAGAGCGAGAAGCGGGAGGGCGGCTGCTGAAGGCTCTCCGTTTCTCGTTATGAAGAGAAGCTCAGCTTCTCACGTCTGTCCACAGGACGTACTTGAACACGTCGGGCAGACTGCAGCGCAGCCTGTGCTGTGCTGGGTGCCGTAGGAAGCAGAAGTGTGCGGGGCCTCATGAAGCTCGTGCCCTCTGAACCCACTCAGGGAAGGAGCCCGAGGGGCCGGTGGGCTTGGGGCCAGGCTGTGAGGTGGGGGTGGGGCTGGGCCGCAGCAGCAGTGGAGGGGTGGCAGGCTCTGCTCTGTGAGTCCCAGGCCTCCTCGGGCTCCGTGCTGCCCTGACCAGGAGCCTCAGCTGTGGCCGTGTTCCTGCCTCCCGCCTGCGGGCGCCGGCTCACGTGGCTGTCGGGTCGTGGACCACGCTTGCACTGCTCGTCGAGGAGGAGTGCTGGTGGGGACCCTCCTGTGGCTACAAGCCGCAGTGTGGAAACTGACCTCAAAGACAGTCATGTTAGCATGACCACGTCCTGCAGCACGTGGGGTGGGTCCCCGAGAGACCCAGAAATGGCAGGGCTTGGGGCAGCAGCTTGGGGCCCATGGGGTGACTTTGCAGGCAGCAGGGTGGCTGAGCCAGCTGGGTGCAGGTAAGCTGGGCAGGGGACGGCCCAGGGGGGATGACCAGGCCAAGGGCCAGTTTCGAGGGTGCCAAGGGGAGGCCACAGTGTGTGCATGCTGGACAGGCTCGCTGGGCTGGCCTGGAGGCTGGGGCCAGACCTGGCACCTGCACTGGCCATGAGAAGCCCATGGAGGGCACAGCTGTCAGCCTGGGGCTGGGGCCTGGGCCGAGGTGGAGCCAGGTCCGAGCTGGCAGGCACTGTGGCCCCATCACTGTCCATGTCCTGAGTTCTGCCATCGTCTTGGTCTGGGCCTTGGCATCTTAAGTGTCAGTTTTTCTTTCCCTCAGCTGTGGAAAGTGAAAAAGGCATTGAAGATGACCGTTGTTTGGAGAGGCCTGAGGCCCCAGTTTCAGGTAGGAGTTCACGTTGTGCTGGCTCAGCCCGCTTCCCTCTGCGGACTCGTCTCCCGCCCACTCTTCTGCACCACTCTCACTCCTCCCTTGACCGGCCTGTCGCTCGCTGTGCCAGGTTGTCTGCTGATGCTTCTTAGTTGCACCCCAATCAGATGCGGAACCCTGGGAGGGAGGGGACTGTCACTTGATCCCGTGGCTGGCCTCCCGGCACATGGAGCAGCTCCTCATCAGCAGACGAGTGGGTAGGAACGCACAGGTGTCTGGAGGGTGGCAGACAGAGCTGGTCACCACCCTGGCAGCCCCGTCATCCCCTTGTCAGGGCCAGTGTCAGCTTTGTGATCACGACTAATTCCGGGTTCGCATGAGGATTCCCTAACCGTGGGCCT